TGTGCTTGTACAATTTCAGTCAATGGAAAGGATTATATGGTCATGGCTGCAATGATTATACCCTCTTTCTTAAAGCTTTGCCTTGATAAATCTGCTGAAATTTACGCTTACAACACATCCTAGCAGTTGGAGGTAGAGACTAACATTGTATGTGAGGTGCAAGTTATTACATATGTATTTTTCTTCTAAGACAATTTGAATTGTTTATTGTACTCCATTCAGATTATAAATCTCAACTTTGAATATCTGGTTGATGCATATGAACAATATTGAAATGCTTTGCATTTTTTCCCTTCCCAATTTTAGGATGAAAAAGATGAGCAATAGGTCATCCAACCTATCGTGTGATTTAGCAATATCTTTGTTGGGTAATGTGGAGACTTTATCCACCACAATTTAATTAGCATCCTAATTAAGAATCTCACCTATCGCTCACCTATCTTCCCACCTACCGCTCACCTACCACATCACATTTATCGCTAATCTACCTCCCACCTATCATACTCCTGGTTTCTATAAATAGCCTCTTATGACTTGTTATAAGCAAGTCAGGTCAAGCCAAGTCCTCTAAGAGAGAAAGAGAGAGGAAGGGAGATAAGAAAATAGAGATTTTCTTGAAAACGACGAGGTGTTCGATGGTATAATTCCTCAAAGAAATAAAATCCTCTGCAGCTCCGTGGACGTAGGCAAACTTGTCGAATCACACAAATCTTTGTGTCTCGCTCTGATGTTTTTTTCTGCATGCAATTTTTCTCGTTCCATTTTTTACTTTATTGTCGTCGTTTTTCACAACAACAAATATCCATTAAATTTAAAATGTAAGTTATCATATATTGCAATACCAAAATTAACGTAGGCAGAGAAAGAGTTGTATTGTTATCTTGGATAAGGAAATAGATGGATAAAAAATGAAATAAACCAATCAAACCAAAAAAATCTATTTCAATGTCATTCAATCATTGTTAAACAACGAAGTTTCTAGAAATTACATTTTTTTCATTAAAAGAAGGATATCAAAAATCTCACCAAAGAGAATTATAAGACAAACTAGTCACCAAGCTATGTTTAAAAATAGTGACCTAATAATTTATATTATAAAATGTTATGCTTTCCATCCTAAAATTTCATGAAAATTTATAAATTTTATAACATCAAGAATATGAAAGGTCAGTGGAATATCAAAAGGGATGTAAGTGCCTGAAAAATTATAGTCATTAATATTCAAATTGGTACATGAAATTATGTGTTTAAGAAATTCATCATTTGTTACATGACATTATAAGTCACTTTGAAAAACTTATTCTATGTTTGCAAAACCTTACAAAAGTTTTGGACAAAACCAATCTAAACCTTTAAAGGAAAATTATCTTAAATAACTCCAAATGTTAAGATGAACCAATCTCAAAACCAGTCTAAACCTTCATTGATTAGCTAACACATCGAACTCCCACCTTCAAGGCTATCCGAGTTTCTTACCAAATGAATGACTAAAAGCCTTTGACATGGCCTACCCATGCATGAATGCATAATATGCTTCAAAATTTACATAGAATGTGACAAAATTTAATACAACATACAAGCATTTGTTCTCTTTTTTCCTCACACTTAAAACTCTAACACAATAAGAAAAAATAAAATAGAAAATGACATGATCACTTAAACATAAATGATTTCTCTCTATGTACTAGATTTTTCCCCTATAAAGTAAAAAAGCATCCAACCTCTTTATCAATTTTTCAATATTTTTAACCCATTTTACATTTTCTTAAAATGGGTTTAAGTTTAATTGAGTGGAAATGGATTTTAATAGATGCATGAAATTCCTTTGTTAAAATTAGTTCTTTATTTTTTTATTGAAATATTGATTTTAACAATGATAGTTTATAATTAAAATCAATTGTAATCAAGGACTTAACCTTTTTTTATTGCTAATTTAAGATGTACTATAAACATTATAGTTAGTTTTTATAGGTCAACTTAGATCAATGTAGGGCGACTCGATCATACCGTAATGATAAAAGATAGATTCGTGTAGATCATTATAAACTAGCCCAAAGTTTGCATAAGCTGAACTACATCAATATGAGCCCACCTAGTTCATCATAATTTTCTTAGATTAAAAACATCAAATAGACCCTGATTATTGACATACCATTGTTTTAGTCATAGAGTTTATAGAAGTGTCAAACAGTTTCTAAACATTTTAAAAAGCTCTAGTAGTCCTCTATTGAGAATATTTCAGCCATAATTTAATTAGTATGGGACTATTTTGATACTTCCATAAACTCTGATACTAAAACGACATCATGTGAATAGTCTAGCACTATTTTGGCATTTTACTAAATTTTTTTTTTATGTACTCACTATAGTATTCCTAAACCATCCAAAACATTATAAAGCCATGATCAAAATATCACTTTGAGGGACATTTTTTATGCTTAATCAACTATAATATAATTGTAGAACCTCAATGCCTTCTTTCTTTTCACTCTCTCCCTCTCTTTCTCTCTCTTTTCTTTTCGACTAATGTCTCGCTAATCATGCAAGTAAGATCATAACATTGTGACAATTAACTCGAATTTAAAACTAGATTCGAATTAATGCGGTGATTTTTTTGATATAGTTTACATACAGATCACTCGAAAATATTGATATTTTCAAGTTAATGCAGTGTTTTTGTTGAATTACCGAACCAATATAATATATTTTTACGTGTCACGATCAAATTATTAAAAGTTTGGTAAAAATGAAAAATATGTGTTGGGAGTTTTAGAGAATTTCAAAAATTGATGAATTTGTGTATGGTAAGCTTGAGGTGATCTCTTTGTAATTTCCTCTTTTTCTTAATTGAGTATATGACGAAGGAAACGGTTCATGCAACCACGGATTTTCATAAGTTTATTTTAAAAAAATAATAAATATTTTATCTTTAAAAATATGATAAATATTTTGAATATCTCAAACTTCAAGTACAAGAGCCAAATTTGGCATATCGAGTTTTGAATTTAGCTCGAATATCGTTAATCATTTGAAAATTGATTCGAATTTTATCTCAGATTGAAATGAACGATCCAATCTACGAGCTATAATTTTGAACCAATTTTTTTTTAGCCGATTTTGAGCCCACTCAATTCAAAATCAGATCATTAACAGTATTACGTGATATGCCACATTGACAACTAAGGATGCGTTTGAGGCAGTTCTGGCTTATTAATAAAACAACCGTGAAGAAAAATAATCAGATTTTCAATTTTTTTTTTCTTTTTAAAGTTGAACACCATTTAAAAAGTAAGCACCACACCTAGTCATGACCGGTGAAAAAACGTAACTTTCAGCTGCAACTTTTTTAAAAAGTTTACCCAACTACATAAAACTGAGATGTAGTAGGCACATCCTCCCTAAACAAACTTAAAAAAGAGAAATGAAATTTTACATATATCGCATCCGTTATTCAGACGTAGCTTTGAATTCGACTTAAGAATAACTCTAAAAAGATAAAAAAGCTGGCATCCACGACGTGTCAACACAGCGCATCAGGCCGCCATGCATGCAAAACGCGTGGCCGCGCCCTTGTCTTTATTTTCCTGACACCTGTTTTATTTTTTTCTTTTTATGGGCGGATAATTTTGAGGATATTGCTGTTACGATAAATGTTCACGTTCTGATCAACTTAAGTTATATGAGATAAGATATTGTGAATATAATGAATTGTCTTTTTATTAGATGTCTAATTATCGATTATTGCTTTCTTCAAATTAAATTTTATATTGATGGTTAAAGTTTCAAATTTTAAAATGTTTTGATTAAGGGTATGTTTAGGACAGCTTGTGTTTATCCATATAAACAGTTTATCCTAAAACCCGACATGAAGACGGTTCGACCCGCGACCTGCGTTTAGTGTAAATGCCCAAATATGTTTTCGGATAAGCTACCGACGTATTTTTCAAAAGTTGAGGCGGCGTTCACACTTATAGGCTGCCGCAAATAGGTCCTAAGTTTTCTAGGAGGTTTAGAATGTAAATTAGCATTAATTAGGAACATGCCCATTGAGGGTGTATAATGTAATGTAATGAAAATTTGACGAATTAAAAATTATGATCTTCTTATCCATTAAGTTTGATTATACATGCTTGCTTTTTTTAATAAAATAAATTAACTTTCATTTTTTTTATATCTATTTTAGTTGACTTTAAATCCAAATAAGAGTTAAATGTTAAACTAAATCAAACATTTGGCTTACATTAAATAAGATTTATCAAATTCAATAAACCTGATCTTTATGTGGACCCTTAAAGGAGCCGATACATGACGTGGTCATCGCGTGATTGGGTGGAGAAAAATGTCATAAACAAAAAATCCAACATCGGCTAGGTGTAGGGCCGAAGAACAGTGTTTAAGTCCCGGGCTGCCCATCACCCCGAAAAACCTCTTTTGGGAGGTGACAGATAGCAAATAAAATATCTATCCTCCTCTCAATCAAATTTATTAAATCCAAATTTACCTTGCAAACGAAATCGAAGGAAATATTTAAGAATGAAATGCGAAAAAATTTCATGTAAGTGAGCATTGGTTTTTTCTTTTATGTTTAGGGTTATTAAAGCAAGTGAAACAAGCAAAAAAATAGAACTCACAAATTAGGAGAAAATTTTACGTCTGGATAATGCACGTCCGAACAGTCAACCATTAGGCACCACGTCGTATACAAAGACTTTTTCCCAAAATAGGTCGCACAATTCATTAAAAAATTAACAAAAAAGATTTTTACATAAAATTCACCCAAAATATTGAATTTAATATTTTAATCATAAAAAAAATTTAAATCTAGCATTTTATTAATTAAAATTTTCATTTAAAACCTTATGGGAAAGAAAAAATTAAAAAGCTATATATTTAAAATGATTGGTAAATAAAAACCAAAAAAAAAAAAAAATCATGAAATTGTAAAACGATAAAAGAGAGAACAGTTCTCGTCGCGCTTAAATAAGAGAGACGCGTGCCAGCATCCAAAGAGTCGGTAAATCAACATCTTCTTCTTCTTCTTCTTCTTCGAGTCTGCTCTCTCTGGCGAGTAAGAATGGGAAAATTAGGGTATCTAGCAATGAAGACGGATCAAATCAGCAGCGATCTCATTAATTCAGATCTACGTGAGCTCGGGATGGCTGCCAAGAACCTCGCCGATCACGCCTTCATGCTCGGAAGCGGCCTCGGATTCGGAACATACTTTCTCAAGTTCTTGGCCTCTTTCGCCGCAATGTGAGATTATAGTTCTTGTTTGTTCTTCTTCGTCTCCGCTGTTTGATTAGGAGATTATGTTTTTCGATTGCGAGTACAGCTACTTGAATGAGAACTGTTGTTCCGAGCAATAGTCGCCATTCGAGAAATAAATTATTGCATAAAATGGCAGTAGAGTATGAATTACTGATTTGTGATTGTAGTTATGTTCTTGTTTCTAGTGGCGGAATCATGATTGTTATGTTGTAGAAGCAGAAAAATTTGCCTAAAAGAGAATCTCCATTATTCTCACAATAACCCTTAAATTGAAGTCTGTGGCTGTATCTATAGGTTTCCATTATTCTCCCAATACCCCGATTTCCACAAGAAATGGAAATCGAAGGCTGTGGCTCTGAAATGCGATATAAATGAAAGAAAAATTGTGGATGTATCAAATTCTTTTGGATTTGCTTTTCTCTAATAAGCAATCCGGCACGTGGAAACATAGATTGAAGCGTTCTTTCCGTTAGAGTATCCTTTGCATTTCTCTGAAATTAAATGATCATGCGAATGTCTTCTAGTGTATTTCTTAATCTGTTTTTAAATAAAAATTTATAACGTCTCATAGCAATTTCCCTAACATACATTGTTAATTAGTTCTTACCTGACATGTTCATCATGTGGGATATCTGCTCTCTGAAAGTTTGGCGGTTGACGCTGTAATGTTGGATAAGATGAGCATGGACTTTACTTCTAATTTTTCTTTTTAAAAAGAAAAAAATTCAACTTACATACCATTTCCCCTTCTGGACCCAAAAAAGGTAATTGTGTTTTGCTCACAAAATGCTTTCATGAAATTTTCTTTTGTACTTTTCTTTTTGTCATCGTGTCAAGTATATGTTCATTTCTTTGTTTTAAATAGTACCGATTACTAGAGTTAATTACACGAAGTCTGCATTAGCTACGATGACATTTCTTTTTTTCCTTTTTATTCATTATGGCATCGCTGAAAGTCTATGTTGGTGAGTAAAGATTCCACATTGGCGTTCCTCAACATACAGAGCCGTGGCATATTTTTACCACTGATAATTGGATCTAGGTCGCATGGCGCTCATAATGTTGGTGTGTCAGCCAATTTTTATTTATTTATTTGTTTTTACTTCTGAATAAATGGTTGTTTGGCGGCTTACTATTAACAGGATTTAGCCATGAATTTAACTTAAATCAAGCCAAACATAAAAAAAAAATTATTAAATATCGTGTTTCATCATTTTTGTTTTTTGATGTAATTCTTGATTTAGTAAATCCCATTGAGAGGTGGATTTATTCCGCGTGAACTCCTTGACTGGAGTTGATAAATCCGGATTTATCGGATTTGATGAATCTTATTTAATTTAAATCTAAGTTGCAACTAAACACCACGTAAGGTCGAATGTTATTTCAGCTAGTTAGAGCAAACTGATATTATATTTATGTTGCCTTACTTTTTAATTGTAAAAATATAAATATTAATTTGATAAGCTGTTCTTTTTATTCCCCCGTGTATCAAAGATAATGGTCTTGGTTGCTGAAGCTCCATTTAGCATGTTTAGGAATTGGCTTTCCATACAAGAAGTTTGTCGTCAAAAGTTCTGCATGATTGATGAAGAAACTTGGGCTCTATTTTGTTGAAAGAGAATTGAAAAGGACAGTTCTCATCTGTATTTATCTTTTAGTTATTTTTATCAATATTTGAAGTTCATAAACCTTTTAAGTAGGCAATATTTTCGTTTTGAAAGATTGCCTTTGTCATCATGCTCACAGCTAACTATACATTTTAACAATGCCTACTACGATTGTGATAGTTGTGAATGAATCTATTGAGATTATTCTAAATTTATATGAATGTGTTTTGTCTGAATTTTCAATTACAGATATTTGTTGATTTTGGACCGGACAAACTGGAAGACAAATATGCTTACAGCTCTTTTAGTTCCTTACATATTCTTGAGTCTTCCCGCCAGTACTATTTTCTTTCTTGAGAGGTGATTTGATGCCCTTTTAGATCTCTACCTTTTGCTTTCTTGTTTATTTAGAAGCACTGACAATCTGTTCTTTCTTCATGATAGAGGTGAGGTCGGAAGATGGATTGCCTTTATTGCTGTAGTGTTGCGTCTCTTCTTTCCTCGACACTTTCCAGGTTCCTTTCAAATTAATCATTTGAAAACTGCTCATTAGCACTGCCAAAATATGAACTTGTCTGATAATGACAATATTTTTAAAATAATAATCTAAATGACAAAAAAATCACTTTCATATGTATGTACATATCTCACACCTAAACTTTCATATTTACATATATAGCACTTTGGTGCTTTATATCTGTGCATGAAAAAGGGTCTTTCACTTTTAAAAGTAGCAATAGTGCTATTTTTTATGTGATATTAAAGATTTGAGTGCTGTGTATGTAAATATAAAAGTTTAGGTGTGAGATCTGTAATTACATAACCATAAATTTATAACAGCCCAAGCCCCTCCTTTGAGGTGCTCTTACTTGGCAGACCATGTGGCTAGTGCACTTATTTTAATTTTTCTTTTAATATATTAAGACAGGGATTTATGCTTTAGTAGTTGGAGAGGTTATAAATTTAAAAAGAAGCATACACCATGATCTGCTTGTGCATATCGTGTTGCCCTCTATAGGGTGACTGTTCTAAATTTTTTTTAACAAGTTATTTCATATTATTGTTTATAAATTTTTTCCTTCATGATTAACATGATTGATATTGGCCTTGAACACAACCATATTTGAAACATCAAGTCCTGTTCAGCATGTATTGTGATCATTGATATGGATCTTGTTCAACAATCAACAAATTGAAATTCAAGTCTGTATGTGTTGATTGCAGTCATATGAATGAATCATATCGTTAGGATTTTTCAAAGACATTTGAGGTAGTTTTTGGGTAGTTCTAGCATCTTGTGACCAGAAATACTGATGCATGTCCTAATTTATGAAGTGCTAAAGCCATATGATGTTCCTTAAATAATTGGATGACTTGCAGATGCGAATCAATCCTTTAATATTAAATTTTGTTAGTAATGGTAACCCGTCAAATATTGTTAAAAAAGGTTATTGTTAAAGATTCAGAGAATATCATCAATTTTTTCCGATGCTATCTCTAGATGAATGGTATGTAAGAAAAAAAAATGCTGGCATGCAGGACAGGGAGACATATATAACTTATGTGCACTTCAGGAATGATTTTAAAATAATCCATCATGTTTTTTGTTTGCGTTCCAAATTAGCTCTATGTTATTTTTTAACAAAATAACAATAGTAGTCCTTTAACATCAAGAATGCCCCTGGCAAGATATGGATGAATCCTTAGTGCATCTTAAGGTGGGAAAGGGTATTTGAAATAGAAACGTATTCTATAATATCTTCCACTTTGTTAACTAAATTGTTAAGGTAGTTATCTTTTATTCGAATTTTTCTTATTATTATTTTAATCATTATTGCGCACCCTTGTAATTTGAGTTACTTTTGAAATCAGAGTTGCATGATATTGCTTGATGTTCTTGTTATGAACTTTGAGAAAATTTAGAGCCCATGACCCAACCGTAAAAACTAGCAATCATCAAGTTAAACAAATTAAAGCAACGACAAAAAAAATAAAAAAGGCATCCCACAAAAGTATTATAGTGATTTGAATATTTGAAGAATAGAACGAGGAGTGGGGGTTCTTAAGTTGTCATTGTTGGGAAAATTGATTTTAGTGATTGTTTTTATGATAACATGAAACAAAATGAAATACAATCGTCCAAAGGTGTGCAAAAAATAGGATAATTCAATAATTTGTATCAAATCAACTAAATTGATTGGTTTGGTTTTCTTTGATTTAGATTTTGGTTTAAGCTTGTAGTAAAACTTAAATCTACCAAATCAAATAGATCAAGCATAAGACAAATTTTAGAATACTAGAATTTGAACATTATAGCCAAACAAAATCTAAAGATTAAATTTAAACTAAACTGGCAAACTGGACTTGATAATATTATAAAATCGTAGTTACTTTTATATGATAAATCCATCCCATTTAAGATCAAGAATACGACATATAATTTTAGAATACTAGAATTTGAACATTATAGTCAAACAAAAGCTAAATATTAGATTTAAACAAAAATGGTAAACCAAACTTGTTAATAATATTATATAATCTTAGTTATTTTAATATGATAAACCTATCCCATTTAAGATCCAACAAAATAACTGGTTTGATCTTATTGTGATTGGTTTATGCCAGCCTAGATTTGGATTGCTTGATCATATACAGATTGAGTTTATGAATGAGTTTGATTTCCAAGTAATAAATCAGTTTGTTTACTTATTGAGTCGAGTTGTAACCTAATCCATTGATATGCCTAAATCTAGGAAATACAAGGGATTGCCAATTTTATAATAGTAAGGAAGTCAAAAGGGAAGTGGGCATGTGTATTGAATTTACCAATCTTAACAATACCTTCCCTGCAACCTTTTACCCATTGCTGGCCGTCAAGTGCGTTATAGATCATAAAAAATTGTTTAGAACTAAAGAAAACCAAACCTAGTCAAATTGCAACCAACATACCATTTCCTAGGGGCCTTTTTAGTATCATTTAATTACTTATGTAATTTTTATTTTATTTTTAAAATAAATCAAGTTATTTTTATTGTGTTTAATGTGTTCAAAATATGAACTCTCTGTCATCATATCTCATCGATCAAGTTGGTTTATCCCACATGTCATTGGATTGTCATGTGTCCCATGACTGTTATTTTTTTGCCATCATTATTTTTTGGTCGCTGCTATTTCCACCATTGGCTGCCATCTGCCATTTTATCTACACCACTATTGCTATCGCCACGACCATCAGATGCTTCAGCACCTTTCTCCATCACTACTATCGCCAAGTAAACAAAAAATATAAATCCGTTAGTCCACATGGTCACTATTTTTTTTTTAATTCTTAAACTATAAGATTAAATGGTTTAGTTTGCTTTGTTTTAAGTATTGGTCAGTTTTGGATGAATTGAAATGTGCATACCGCTACTGCTTTTGACATTTTTGGAAATGAGTCCCACTCATTTCATCTAAAGTTCTTGCTTTCAACCCAAAAGGAGGTTTCTAGTGTTTGCTAAGGACAAGAATGTTATGAGGGAGATGAAACCCTGGGATCGCACTGGGATGTGGTAGAGTAAAAAATGTCTTTGGTGTGAGTCCTGGATGCGCGCGGTGAGGTTTGTCGACTTCATTCATATCAGTCGAGAGCTTCAAAGGAGTGCAAAGGAGCAAGAAGAATTGGGCAAAAACCTTTGCCAACTGTTGAAGAAATCCGTAGGTGTCTGATTGCAGGCAGGATTTAACCTTTTTATCATTTATTAAATCTGGATTTATTAAATCCACCTCTTCATTGGGTTTTATTAAATCCGGATTTAAGAAAAATTGAAGGCAAAATTCGGACTTCAAATCCGAAATTTCATAAATCAACGGAACTTGCCCACTTTTATGTTTGGCTGGATTACTTATATTCGGCAATAAATCCTGTTAATAGGCGTTACCAAACACCCTTTTGTTTGCCATGCTAACCTAGTCACCCTTTGAAGATTTAGGGTCAGATTGGGCATAGTGGTTATCAATCTGTTTTCCCAACCTGCTCGTCCACAATGCTACCTGACTTGGTTTGAAGCCCGGCTTATTTCAGATTATTAAACATCTTAGCTTAAACTTCTAAAGCTTTTTTACTTTAAATTAAGCCATTTTACATTAAATCAAACAACTATAACAAACTTTATATCTTGAATTGGTGATGCTAGATTGGTTGGAGATGCCTGGATCTTTGATTCTTCTGCTCGTCGTTGCCCCCGGCTTCTTCGCCAACACAGTCCGAGGTGGAATATTAGGAGTGATCATATGCCTCATCATCGGCTGCTACCTCCTACAGGAACACATCCGCGCATCCGGCGGCTTCCGAAATTCGTTCACAAAGACCAATGGGATATCCAACACCATCGGCATAGTTCTCCTCCTCGTCTACCCTGTGTGGGGACTCATTGTCATCTTGATTTAGATTCTGTACTGAAAGTCCGTCTCCTTGCAGTGTTTTGTTGCTTTGTCATGAATAATTTTTGCCTCTGGGCTTTTGCAGCTGTAGAAACCTTGTCTGGTCAATTGGTTGGTGGTTGGTCTTGTGCTGTGTGGAAATTTGTATTTGTTATGGGCTACTACGGTTAAGGATGTGAAAAATGTTTCATTGCTATGTCTTATATATCGATCACTGGTGCATAGAATTCTTCATGTTCTTAATTAATCATTTTGATTCATTTGGCAGAATTTGATTTTTTAATATGACCAAATTAATTAATCTAATTGAGACAAGATTCCTGATGTCTTGAGTAAAGAGTTATGGCTTATGGTTTGATTTAATTTTGACCTTTTTTATGTGTTTGGCTCGATTATAAGTTATGTGTTCGCTTGATGGGGGCAAATTAACCCATTTAACCTGAGTCAAAACTTCAACCAAATGTCATTGATCATGGTTGAACCATGTTAAAGAGATCTTAAGGGTGTTATGTGGCCAACTGATTAGATCAGTTAAGATTTATGGCTAATTTGGCTTGTATGACTGGATTTAAGTGAGTCAAGTGTGGCAACTAGGTGCGTTTAGTCTTAATTGATGAGTTATTTCTTATCACGTTTCAACTTAGGATGTTCTATTATTAACATAGATTCTACTTACGGTGTGTTTGAGGCAGCTTATGTTTATCTAGGTAAGTCGTTTATCTGGAAACGCGGATCAAGAGTTCTAACCGCGTTCCACATTTAGTGTAAAAAATAAACTGTGTTTTTAGATAAGTTGTTTAAACGCAGTTTCCAAAATGTTTGAAAATGTCGCCGTAACAGATAAGCTGCCTCAAATGGAGTCTTAGGCTTGTCAATTTGAAAATTAATATTTACTTGATAAAATCGACTCTTTTATGGTTATTTCTACTCAAGTTCAATTAGTGGTTAGGCAAACGAATGGTCATCCCAAGGAAGCTAATTGGAACCTATAATATTTATAAATTAATTTTAAAATGATTCTCAAGATATAATGTTTGGATTGGTTGAAAGTCTTAATTGTAAATGGATCCTTGCTACCTAATGTACAAAACACAATATGTTTGATTGTATTTTGGCCAAAACATAGCCTAAGGGTGCTCTTAAAGGTCTCATTGTACATTATTAATTTAGGGACATCCTAAGGGAAATTCAACTTGAATTATTGAGATTAATTGATTTTAATTACTTCAATGTAGTCCAAATGAGATTCAACCTTTGCTAATAACCAAGTACAATTGTTATGCTCATGGCTTTGATGATCTAAATTTTATAAAAATGAATTTTGCTAAAAAGTATGGGGTTTTTTGCATGTTGCCAAATATCTCTATGGATTTAAGGCTGGTTTAATCTTAGGTTAAACTAGTATCTCATAACCAAACCTAGAGTATCTTAGAGCTTATTATATTATGCTATAAGGTAATTGAAATAATGAGAATGTAATTGACTTCTATCACTACTCAATATATATCCATTAGGAATCTATTGTGATTAAGCATACTATACTATACTAAACTTGATGGATGATAATAATTTGGATATCAACATTTTTTGCGGTCAGCATTGATAAATAACTAGAACTCATTTATAATGATGCAATACTTATTTTAAACTCTTCCTTGCAATAAAGAAGGATTAATATCAAATAACATATAATAGGAGCATAATATATGATTTTCAAAATTAAATCAAGGTGGAGTTGGTAAAGTGATAATCCAAAGGAAAGACACCTCGTAATATGAATATTTTCAATTTTTTTATCATTAATGACAATATTTATGGAAAAAAAAATTCATTAATTACATGTTAGTAGGGCATAAGTGGGACTGTAATCGGGCTGAGTCGAGCTTAGTATGTCATGGATAGGATTTGGCTTGGCTGAATCATAAGTTGTTCATGTTTTGTTTGAACTTGAGCTGAGTCTTCACATGTGTCTGTATTTACATATCTCACACCAAAACCTTTATATTTACATACATAAAACTTTTAATGCTTTAAGCTAAGCATGAAAAGGAGTATTTATATTTAAAAAGTGATAATAGTTCTATTTTCGACTTGATATTAAGGATTTGAGTGCTCTGTGTGTGTATATGAAAGTTTAACTGTGAGATATGTAAATTCATAAGAATTGTGTGCTATGTATGTAAATGCTCCTATTAAGCACTTGATTTTTTATTTATTTTATTTGAACAAGCCAAAAATTTTAATGAGTACATGATTTTTTATATAAAAATAAAAAATTAATTGGTACTTAAGTTTTTATATAATAGTAAATAAACTAAAAACTCAAATGAGAATTGATTTTTTTATTTAAAACTAATAATATATAATTTTATAAATCTAAAGAAATAAATAGTTAAATATATTTCAAATTAACCTCTTGTTATTTTATACAAGTAAATAGAATAGCATATGTGTTATAAGTAAGCTTTTTCCCAAATCAAATAATAATAATAAGTAGTAACTAACAAGTTCATTTAAGTAAAAAATAAGAAGAAATTGCATTAAATTTATATGCATGTTGATATTGAATCTAATATGTTATTATTAAATATATAATTAAATAAATTCTTGCTAATAAATTATTCTTTAAATAATCTAATATATAAGTATAGAGCGTTTAATAAATTACTACTTGAAAAACAAGTACGCTTGCTCGTGAACATTAGTAAATGAGTTAAACTATGTTTACATTTGGTTCATTTAACTTCGAGTTAAAAAAAAGTTCAAACTTCCTTATTTACTAATTTGAACAAACATAATCGAGTATTAGTCGAGCTGAGCTTGAGTTGTTCATCAAATGCATTGACAAACATGAATATAATTTTCACAAAAAACTAGACATTCTCATGGCCCCTCTAAAATTTTGGGGTTTAAGATTATAACTACCTACTAAAAATATTGATGGTGTTTTTAAAATAACTTATTTATATTTTCATAAAAAAAAATTCTTAGTCTATCACTATCTACCATACATTTAACTACAATGTCATCATTAATTTTAGATATGTTGTCCCCCAAATTAATCTCTTTAAGTTCAATAAAAAATAAAATAACATAACATTTCTAATAAAATGACAAGGGAATGATAACTAGACAAAAAAAATATGTTGTCCCCCAAATAACCATGATGAGGTTGCACAAGCAGGCTTTGAATGAGCTTTGAATTGGAGTGATGAAGACTTGAAAGAGAACACATCCATTTTAAAGAAAGTAGTATGTTCAAGCACAAATAGGTTTGGTAAGCAAAAATATAAAAAATAATATTTTTAATAACATTTTAAATAATTAGATTATGTATATATATATATTATCATGCACGAATGTTGATGCATTTTGATCAAGAAAGTTTCCATATTTAAATTCAAGATCATATGATATATTTAATTTATTATTTAATATAATAATATTTATGGTTTATTATCTTATCACGTCTTCATTAATTTTAAAGTTAAGTGTAAACTGAAATCAAGTTGTTAAAATGAAAATATCATAAAAAAAAAAAAAATCTTAATTGAAATCCAATGAACTTTGCATTATTTTGGGTGGTTTTACTACTTTATCATGTAAGCTTGCTGATTTTAATAGCTTTGTTTTTAATTCTATACTTGTTAACCTTGTTTATAATGGATTCTCTTTTAGTTAGTTTACTCAACAAAAATATTTTTCTTAAAAAAGGTTTGTTGGATAGAGTTTTTTGCAATGATCTTTAGACTGAGAAGTTCCTTGTTTCTTTTGAAAGATTTTGGAACGTCTAACTTCTAATCATTTTCATATTGTTATTTATGTTGGTAATCCTCATAAGTTAAGTTGTAGATTTATGTATAAAAATTATTGGAGTTTCTATCACAATTTTACTTCTTTTCTTCATTTCGTTTGGGGCGTTGAAGTGAAGGGAGATCATCTCTTTGCTCTTTTGTAATAAGTTGAAGAATGTTATCATTGTTCTGAAATATTATTCTTGGGCTTCTAATTGTTTTATTTTTTATAATATCACTTCTTTAAAGAAACAACAGTTTAAGATTAGGTTTCTTTTGGATAATAATCCGAATGATATTTCAATTTCTAAAAAGGGCAGCTGTTAAATTTTGGTTAGTTAATGCTTTACATTGTGAATATAAATTGTTAAAACAAAGAGTAAAATACTCTTTAACTCTCTAAAGGTGAGGATGATTAAAAATTTTAGTATATAAAAATTAAAATTAATGGTTGTCGTATATTTGTTAAGGAAATGTTTGTCAATAATTTGATTTTTAATACTTAAGATGATATTTCTAGAGAAATTATATCATTTTTCAATGAGGCATTCAATTGTCATGTTGTTAATTATTCTTATGACTTTAATGTATTTCCTATTAATCATATTTTAAATGCTTAATAATGTTCTTATTTACTATGGATTTCTCGAATAATTATATAAAATAAGAATTTCTTATGTATTGGGTCTAATAAGACCACTGATCCTGATAGTTTTGCAGCTAAATATTTTAAGAATACTTGGTAGATTTTTTTGTAATGATTGTATTACTGCTATTAAATATTTTTTCCCTCCTATAATCTTCCTAATATAATTAATTACACTGCTATCACTCTGATTTCCAAGAAAAATCAAGCTCATACATTTTTTTATTTTAAACCCAACTCTCTTTGCAATACAATTTATAAGATTACTTTGAAGCTTATTGCAAACTTGACTTAAAAGTTTGCTCTAGAATATTATTAATCATGCTAAAGCTGCCTTCATTTCTGATTGTGCTATTGCAGACAATATAATTTTAGCTAATGAACTCTTATTTAGTTTTAATTATATTAATGTTAATAAAGATTTTTGTGCCAAAATTGATATTTAAAAAAACTTTTGACAATATTAATCGTCAATTTATTTTAGATAGATGAACTCATACGGACTTTCCTAATACTTTTATTAATTATATTAAAGCTTGTATCTTTAATGTTTATTTCTCTGTTATATTTAATGATGAGATGAAGGGATTTTTTTCTTCTAACTCTCCGACTAGATAAGAGTGTCATATGTCTCCTTACATCATCTTTACAATTAATATAAATGCTTTCTCTTATCTTATGGAATTTATTATTCAAGTTTTAGCATTACTAAACATATCATTGAGAGTTATAATATTTTTTTGTCTTATTTATGTCGAAGATTTATTAGTGTTTGATAAAGCTGATGTTAATTATGTTAATAAATTT